CCAAAAATAAGAGTTTTATCTCCTCTGTGATGATTTTTATAAATAATATCAAGTTGTTTGTTGCCGTTCATTCTGATAATCAAAATTTTATTTGGAATCATACCACATATGGCTGACAATTTAAAAACTTAACAAAAACTTATATCTCATGAACTGGATGTAGGAAAAAAATTAAAATCTGGGAACTTGCAAGATGTCTTGGGGCTCATTTAGCTATTCCTATTGACCGGAAATAGATCTTAAGTCGCTTATTTTAAATACGGCATCCTATTATTACAAATTTGAATTTTACTTCAGATTCTGGGTAGGTTTTATGTATCATATCATATGCCTAAGTCCGATTTTACATCAAAAATGATGTTGGTAAGCCCTCATACAATTATCAGTTAGTCCTATAAAGAAGTCCTTATATCTACTTCGGGTTTAATTCCTTGGGTTTAAGGATTAAAATGAGATTAAGAAAACTGCCAAAAATCGATTTTTCAAATGGAACAACCCATTTTTCTTATTTTGTAGTATTTAGCATCTAAAATAAAGTCGTCTACAGGGTGGTCCGTTAATAATGAGATTCAGAGCTACTTTATAAAAGTATTGCGATATAACACAATTTACCTTAGTTCAATTTTTGATATTAAAGAATATACATAGTGTTAAAATAGATACATTTATATCAGTATTTTTGATTGAAATATTTGACACTTCATTTTATTAAGTATCTACTTTAACACCTTATATCTTCAATATCCAGAATTGAACAAAGGTAAATTTTTATATCGCAAGATTTTTATGCAAGGAATTTATAGATGTTCTGTGTCCCATTGTTAACGCACCATCTTGTAGACAACCTTATTTTCCATACTTTATTTTCGATACTAAATACTTTAAAATGATTAGTTGTCTAAATATAAAAAAAAAACTATTAATGAGATTTTTTAACAAGGAATCCAACCCAAATTAACCAATAAGATCTCTGGTCCTCTCATTTCTTCTTAATCTACTTTGGACCACTTTAAGATATGGACAATATTTGGAAATAAAACAATATTATTTTTGAAATAGGTAAGATACGCAGCTTTTAGTTCTTACATGTCAAGTCAGCGGCGGTAAGTCCCCAAACACAAATACGTCGAAATTAACAGTCGAGTATTTACAAAAGTTCAAGCATATACAGTGTGTCCACTTAAGTTCGCAGCATATGGGAAACTTTTTTATTATTAACTTTATGAAAAAAGTTTTTCTTCACAAAAAGTTCTGCAACTATCAGATATATTTTTACAATAGTATACGAGATATATCAAATAATATGAATTTAGCTGTAAAATAAAGTACCTTTATTTTTGATAAATCACGTATACGACTGATAAAATTTGATATTTGATGGTTGCATTTTACGTTTTAGACCATGCTCGACTTTTTATGAAAAATAACTTTTTTCATAAAATTAGTAATAAAAAAGGTTTCTGCATATAGTAAGACGAGGATGGTGTCAAACCTAAAATACTACCATCAGATATCAAATTTTATCAGTCGTATACGAGGTTTGTCAAAAATTAAGATATTTTACTCTTCAGCAAAATTACCTATTTGACATATCTCGTATACTACTGTAAAAATTTAATATATCATAGTTGCATTTTAGGTTTCAGACCATTTCGACCTTTTTATGAAAAATAACTAAATGAAAATATTTTTTCCTTCGACCACTTAGGAAAGTGACACATATCACACTATATAGTCCTATGGAAAGTGCCCTATATCACATGCGTATGAATAGGAATTTACTTTCCACCCGTGTACGAATATGCAACTTTCCGCAGCAGCTGTCACAAAATGTCAAACACATCATTTCTATTTTGATCTATGTAATGTCCATATTAATACTAAAATCGATATTATGATTAAATTATTAAAATTGATGATTAACTTAGATCCTAGATATTTATTTTAACAATTATTAAAATAATTTTAAAATAACTACATACATCTCATTATTTTGGCTTTTTATTCTGTTTAAACTTAAAATCGAATTAAAAATGCATTTGACATAAGACCTATTAGCTCAGGTTTTAGGGTAGTTGCAATTTGAACTTTGGCTTACACGACGGGTCCGCGGGCCCGCGTTCAAAACTTGGTGGTTGCAGATTTTTTTTTGTTTTTTAATTTTTGTTTCGAAAAATATGAAAATTGCATAAATACAATTATTGTTGATTATTTTTTTAAATACATTTTAATTATTATAATAATAACCTGGTTCTACATTTTTTGATGAAATTATTTTGTGGTCGTAGGAAAAATATTGTACATCACTTGTGTGAAAAGTAATTTTCCACACTGGTGTGATAGTCGCACTCGGCTTGTGCCTCGTGTGACAATATTTTCCACTCGTGTGAAAAATGTCACTTTCCACACACGTAATGTAATATACTATACTTGTTTCTTTCGACTTACTTCTGTTTTGAATGATTCCTACAAAACGGAAAGCACATAAAATGTTTGTAAATACGCAATGTTGCCACATTCACTGGCTCAAGATGATACGGAATTACTTTCAATACGTATATATAATTATATACCGCAAATACCTACCTAAGCGCCGCAAACGTCAAATTGTTGAACTACATATTGGAGTTTCGTATATTCCTGAACCAATAAAAAAGGGGGAATATCCGGCAATGTGTTGGGCGCGAAGATTTGAAAACATAATTTACAGATTCCTTTATTATGGAACTATTACAATCAAGTTTCACTTTAAGCATAGAGTTGGTATTAAATAATTTAACACAGCAAAACAAACTTGAACCAATATACTGGTTCAGGTTTATGATGGTGGTTCAAGTTTGTTAACCCAAGTTACTACTTCTGGTTCAGGTTTGGATGGTTACCGTAAATATATATATATATATATATATATATATATATATATATATATATATATATATATATATATATATATTTATTGCCAACGAAAATACTGAAAAATTAAAATTTTACGCTTTTCCTCCAATTTTATCATTACGGTCCAAAGAGATTGATATCGCAACAACTTTTAGTTTAACGATTTTCTTAAAAATCATAATTTGGCATATTTTGTCAAATTTCTCGACTACGGACCATTTTAGGAAAATTTTGGATGGAACAAAACTTATAGAGAATAATATTAGAAGTCCCTTTTATTTGAAGAATTTTCTTCTCCAAACGTAAATAACAGATATTTTCCATAACATATAAAAATGACCCCCTATAAAATACCCCCCCAGATATTCCGACTCTGCCCAAAATCTAATCAGATCACCGTAGGCTGGAATAATGCTTGAGTTTAAAATTTGGTATTTTTCTTTGTATCTGTTGATGAGTTTTCGTGGATACAGACACACAGACATCATCGCGAAAATAGTCAAAACGGATTCAGGTGACCCCAAAACGTAAAAATCCGTCGAAATCTCGAGGTCGAAAAAATCATGATGACTATTCCAATTAATTACTTTGCCAAATAAGGACGTAGCTGTGTTCTTCTAATTGTAATCGGACCCTACTACTCATTATATAAAAATATTTTAAAAGGGTTTTTTTGTTAAACAATTGAGAGTAGTTAAAAATTCAGGAAGTAAGAACTTTGTTAGTTTCCACACCAGATTTTTGTGATCCTTAAAATAAAAAAAATATATCAGTACAATTTGCAACATATGTTTTTGTGTAATTAATAATTCCTAAACTTTAGGGTAATATAGTAAACTTAAAATAAGGTATTTTACTTGTGTTATGAACCGAAAGAAACCAGTCAAACCAGAGGTTCCAAGTCTGTGAGAAAAATTGGTATTCCTGGCTAAAGGTATATATGTTACGGGCAGTGTTGTAAATTGGGCTGTGACGATGTTGACCGGACACTAACGTCAGCAGAATGCCCAATCAAATAGGAGATTTACGAAAATGACCGGCCAATATCGTTAAAGACCGAAATATCATCTTTGACCGTAACATATATAAAGATAAATCACAATTTAGTCTAAAAATTGGCATAAACATCATTTCCCTGGATGAAACTTTATGAAAGGCAGGTGTAATTAAAATACTATAATTTAATATAGGGTGAATTGATAAACTTACCTGAATTCAATTGATTTTTAGACTATATGCGTTAAGATTTTTTATATTTTTGTTTATTTTTTTAATTATTATAGTAAAGGTGTTGAACGAGGGAAGTCACTCTTGCCCTGCTGATTGCCTTGAATAATTATATTTCTCTACAAAGCATATTGATACTACGTAATATAAGAAATTTATGTATGAAGGTGTATTTACAAGCAACAAATGCAAGTATCAGGCAAGTAAATTTGACATAAATTCAATTTTGTTATGATGAAACAAAATTAGAGTATTACATTTTTTGAGGTAAATTAAAATATAAAAATTTACAAATAAAATAAAACAAATATAACTAATGAATTAAATAATAGTAACTGTTGATTAACGTTAAAATTAAAACATACAATATATAAAATAAATAAACGCGAAGCCATGTATCACGTAATACGAGCAACTATTTTCCTTCAGAAAATAACTACTCCTTTGGCTAATACCGCAACAGGTATTGAATTATATCCAATTATATAGATACATTGGAAGTAATATATAAAAAAGTAGAGACAAAATGTATTTCCATAGAAAATTTTACAAGATGGTCAGTAGAACTTTAAAAACAAATAAAAATTTCGTTATAAAAACTAATTTCGGCAAACATTGACTTAGCTCGCTTTGCCCTTTATTAGCACTGTATTATATGTAGCTACTTTTTTGCTCAAGTAAATCTTTCTTTTAATCTTAAATATCTCTTAACAATACATTTGCTTAAAAGAAGTAATAACGTTGCGTTGATTAGAATATCTATTAGACTACTCCAAATAATTTCTTCAACCTATCAAAATTCATCCTAATTGTATTTTTTCGATTGAAACATTCTATAATCTACAATATCTATAAAAACGAATTTCCTCAAATATGCTGCTGCTTTTATCGATCCGACAACACCGCCTCACAAGTGCAAATTCTCAATAGGCTTGTTCGGGTTTCCTTAAAACTCGATGCAAACCGTCCGAGAACTAGTGGAACAGTTCATTTCTAAAGTATACGTCGCACACAACTATTAAACTGTCCACTGGTCAACTAGTCCTCTGATAGTTTTTAATGTATTTTAAAGAACCCGAACAGACCTATTGTGTCGCATTCTGTAGTCTCGCCGCTTGGATGCATCGCCGCGCTGTTTTAGTCGCCGTTCGCTCATTATAATGGCTGGGGCGATTTTTTAACTTCCTATCTGTACACGTTTTCCGCGGTGCTTGATAGTCGCCGAGATCCGTCAGGACGTTCATTTGTTTTGGTTGCTTGGTTACCGAAGATTGCTACTGAAGTGACCTGTCAAAAGTTGAAATGTTATTAATGCGAATTTGAAAACTTTGGTGATTTTACAGTGGGAATATTTTGCATGAATATTATTTTTTAGTTCGTGTTTGATTTGTGCACTATAACAACATAGTAAGTATTGTAAAAAGGAATTTTATTGTTTATGAATGGATGAATGCCAAAGCGAGTGTGTGTTATTGTGTGAATCAGAAATTTTCTCGGGATTTTTAAGTCGGTTTGTTTTAATTAACAATTGATTGATACATTGAGCTCAAGATTGTGGTTGTTTTTTGTTCTGGGTAAAATTATTCATTTAATTAACTGATAAAGTCCGCAGGAATATTTTAATGATAATCTTGTGTAATAATTTTACTAAATAAAAGTGGACAAACTATTTCACGCCAAAAAACATCTATAGGGTCGATTTTTTGGAGTGTATTATTTTTGATGACTTAATTTAACTAGATACTAAAAACAACCAAGCTGACTCTTCATCAAATCACAAGATTATAAATTTGTTTTTAAATGATTAATATGTGTATCTAGAGTCTCGTTGGTCTTAACAAACTTTCAAAAATCTAGATATGTCAAACCTTGAATTAAAGTACTTTAAAATTATCTGAAATCTTTATTAAAATAAACATTGATAATGCTTTTTGATATCAAATTTGCTATCGTTTGACAGTGGTTTAAAATTTTACCTATTTTTTTTATCCCAATTGTGTGAATGTGAATTAATTATATTTTTATTTTTAGCCGTTGTATCACAAGTTAAAACTATTGACAATTTAATTTATCTCTACAATATTACACCTGTTTTTATTCATGAAGTTATATCTACCGCAATAAAATATAATTCCAAAATCCCGTTTTTCCTAGAAATATACAGTTTTGGTAATTCATTAAATATTAAAATTTCTTGTCTAATGTTATCGTCAACTTTCTAAAGCTTCGTAATGTGTATAAAATTTTGTAGAATACCTATAAGTAAATAAATTTACAAAATTATAGTAATTTAAATGTCAAGGATAAAATAAAATATATAGTGAAAAATCTAGAAATTTATACCTCTGGAAAAGAACACCTACGGAAAAGCTCTCTATTAAAAATGTTACCAAAGATCTCTAAGAAAATTCGCTAGGAAACATCTTTAGGAAAACCTATTACAAACCCCATAAAATGATATTTACCAATGAAAATTGTGCGAAAAATGTATGCGGTAATATAAATTTGTCATAGGTTATTCCCATACAAACGTCATACAAATCCTTAAAAAAAAACCTTAAAAGAAGAAGCTATAAGAAAGGGACTAGAAACAACATAAAACCTAAAAACCAGTAGACCAATATTCTCGGAAAAACTGTAGAACATTTCTAATATTTTCCTCCATAATAAAAAGAAATTTTAATTAATTGAATCTTCTAACTAAACTTATTATCTACAACAAATCATGGAGTCTATTTACTTATATAATAAACATTGTGAGTTCCTTTCCTTTATGGACCTTTATAGTAAATTTGGTATAGTTCAGAGTTGACGATGTAATGTAATAATATAAAATATACTGCATCAATATCCAATACAATTTTGTACTCTGCTTAAAACAATATTTATCTAATATGGAAAAGAATTTTGATACAATTAAAATAACATTTTTTTTTTTTTAGAGTATTGTTATTAGTCACTAACCTACAATTTTAATATAAAAATCTTATAAACTAAATACTTATTTAAGAAGTCCCAATGGGGCTGTCTCAAGGGATGTCTTAATATTATTTATAGTATACTATTACAAGGCGTGACAGTTTGTTACACTGTTTTATACTAGCACTAACTACTAACATTAAGGTTCACTGCACCAGTTTAAAGGGCTTCTTCCTTTTGAGTCTCTTCTGTGGAGTGTAGAGTTTCATCAGTAATTGCAGCGCCACTTCATTGATGTTGGAATGGAGCCGACCCACAAGTTTCGAAGCACTTCTAGTGTTGGCATCTTCAGGTTTCTATGAAGATAATCGATAGAACCAATGTTAGAATTTTATTTTCGATAACTTGTATCATATCATGTTGATATTTCACTTGCTGGCACAACCCCATAGCTATATGCCATAAATCCAGACTGGTTTTAGAATTTGTTTATAAATCAACAGTTTATTTTACACTGACAGTTTAGATTTTCTTCTTAGTACCAAAACATTTTTTATAATTTAAGATATAATTCTTAACGCTTTCTTTTATGTGGTCTTTCCATTTAAGTAGTACATCTAGGTTCGTCTCTAGGTATTTGGCCGAATTGTGATGCGGAATAAAATTAAATTTAATCATTTAAAATAAAAGAAGATATGTATATTTATAAAAAAGTGTTAACAATAATTAATAACAAATTAAAAATGAGGTTAACCATATTATCTGCTGCGACAAATGAAATATTACAATGACGTTTAAAAAATAAATAAATTTGTAATGTGATAAATAGACCACATTTTCAATGCCACGGAACCAAAAGGTGGTTCCGTTGTTTATGCGACCTTTGCTTCGCTGTTCTCGGAATTTTTTTTTTCGATTGTTTTTGTTGTATAAGCAACCTGATTTGGAACCTGTTGATTTGTTTGGCTTCGAAAACAAGCCCGCCTGCTGCGTGATGATTCGTGTACATTATTTCTTTCTATTAATAAATATTGTTCCATTGTAGCTGGTATGAAAATATTAATAGAATTTTTGAGAGTAATAATAATTATTTTAATTATGGATCATCTAGCAATCTGGTTTTACTACCTTACGTCATTTGGGTAGTTGAAATGTTCAACAAAAGCGAATCGGTCGATCCTAATTAGAAAATATATTTATGTATGTGCCGATTCGATAGTACAAAGAGAGAACCCCAGGGGACAGTATTAGGTCCGACTCTATTTTTTATTTATATAAACAGCATCTACAACATTAACCATTTTAAAGGAAAACTTGTATGCTATGCTAATAACATACGCCTTTGTTGTGAATGGGAAATCTTGGGATAAATATAAATTAAACACAGAAGCCTGCTTCAATGAAATAAAAATATATCTAGATTATAGTTGACTCTAAACATTGAAAAAATTAATTTTTCCCCTACTGCAGTTGTTCAATCTAAAATACACTACGAGTATATGTAACTTAAAAAAGTGGCAATAAAATATTTATTTATAATGATTGACCAGCACATAAGATGAAATGAACACGTTACTTACGTTACAAAGAGTCTTGTTTAGCAAATTTTACATTAGATAAAAAAAAATCAATGATTTATAATTGTTATTTTAAGACAGTTATATATACCTATCAATGTCTTTAAAGGGCATACATATATCAGGATAAACTACACAAAGTTTCATCAAAAACTAGGGCAACTACACATTCAAACTTAATGTACACTTTTTTAGAAAACGGTATGATGCAAACTAGATCAGATATGTTTGAAATATTTTAATTAATTTGTAAATAATACAGGGTGTTTCTAAATTGATGCAACAAAATTCAGGAGGTGATTGCAAGTATGAAATTAAGATGGATCTTTCCTATAACAAAATTTCCTCAGCCCACCCCTTTCCGAGATATCACCCTTAAAAGGTGGTGACTAAAATTGAGTTTTTTTTTTCCTCTAAAATTTCAGTATAGCTAGAAACTTGAAATTCTGTAATTTTCGTGCACTCGCAAAGGACTAACCACGGGTATTTTTTCAATACTCCTGTTGCATATAAGGGGGTGAAATTAGCAACCCTTACTTTATTTCAAATCAAAACTTTTTCTCGAGATGAAGTTTTATGAAATAAAATTATAACTTGAAATACTTGTTTTATTTAAAAACATTTTTTATTCTTAAATTTTTTTCCCAAAACCAATAGCTGCAGAGAAAAAAATAAACACCATAATTTATAATAATTTTTTTGTAATAAATTGAGTGGAAAACAGTAAAGATGTAAACTTTAATACGATTCAGCTGGAAATGACCACCTCTAGCCAAAATACATTACAGAATTTCAAGTTTCTAGCTTTACTGAAATTTTAGAGAAAAAAATAACTCAATTTTAGTCACCACTTTTTAAGGGTGATATCTTGGAAAGGGGTGGGCTGAGGAAATTTTATTATAGGAAAGACCCACCTTAATTTCATACGAGCAATCACCTCCTGAATTTTGTCACATGAATTTAGAAAGACCCTGTATATTATTATTGCTGTATTTTTAATATTTTATTAGTATTATTAGCTGACTTCAGTTAAACTATAAATTGTAACTATTAGATAGTATTTAAACAACCTTATTACAGTAGAACCCCAATTATCCGTGCGCACTTTATAGGATTTTCTTTTTTTTACAGGCCCTTCTCTGATCTCTTACACCTTGGCTTATTTCTCCTGTAACAACTAATAACTGCGTCTACCCTTACTCTGCTACCTGGTCTTTTTCAATGACCTGAAATAAATTTTACCTTGTTTCTTTTTTATTATCTCTTACATATTTACATTCAATAATCCAATATACATTTCAATACAAAAACCATTCTTTTCTTTATAAATCTAGCTGATAAACCCTTAAAAATTTTTTAATTCTTGTTTAATATTTGTTTTTTTTTAATATTCTGATATACCTCACTAAATTAATTTTGAACCAGATATAGCAATATAATAGAGGGTGTAACAAAAGTAAATTTAACCAGTTTCTGGGGTCGAAAATAAGTCGATTGAAGCTAATTTGTTTATTTAAATAATAGATAGTAAAAAAGTTACAGGGTGTTAAAGTGATTTTGTGTTCGTACTCTAAAACGGCTTAACATATTTTTATGAAAATATGTTAAACCATTTTAGAGTACGAGCACAAAATCACTTTAAATTTTTTTTTAAATAAACTTGGATCGACTTATTTTCGACCCCAGAAACTGTGGTTAAATCTTTTTGTTACACCCCGTATGTATTGTACAATTAATGTATGTTCTTTCATTATGTATAAATATGAAAACTTTTATTTTTTGTTGCACGTATCACGTTTCTGTTGTTCCTTTGACATAAGATTTGTCTAAATAATTTATTAAATAATTAAAAATAAGGTTTTTGGATTATCCGTGATTTCGATTATCCTGCAAAGGCTCGGTCCCGGTGGT